ACCCACTGAAGGACTCCTTGTTTACTTCCAGGTTTTGGGAGTTATGAGTAAAGGTGCTGTAAGTACCCATGTGCAGGTTTTTGTGAGGACATGTTTTCAGCTCCTTTTGGTACATACCAAGGAGCATGGTTGCTGGATGCTATGGTAAGAATGTGTTTAAGGGTGCCTGGCTAGCTCAGTCAGTAGGGCATCCAACTCTTGATCTTGAGTTCAAGCCCCACATTGGGTATAGAGATTACTTAAAAAAGAGTGTTTAGTTTTGTAAGAAACTGCCAAATTGTCTTCCAAAATAACTATCATTTTGCATTCCCACCAGCAATGAGTAAGGTTCTTGTTGCTTTGTATGCTCCCAATCATTTGTTAGTGTTTTATTTTGGCTATTTTAATAGGTGTCTAGGGGTATGTCATTATTGTTTTAATTTGCAGGTCTCTAATGACATGATGTTGAAACCCTTTCATATGCTTTCTTGTCATCTGCATATCACCTTCAGTGAGATGTCTGTTCAGGTCTTTGACACAATGTTAATTGTTCTTTTTCTTATTGTTGAGTTTTAAGAATTCTTCGTATGTTTTGGATAACAGTCCTTTATCAGATGTATCTTTTTTTTAAAGATTTATTTATTATTTGAGCACAAGCAGGGGGAGAGGCAGAGGGAATCTTCAGGGAGACTCCCTGCTGAGCGCAGAGCCTGACATGGAGCTCAGTTTCTCCACCCATGAGATCATGACCTGAACCGAAACCAAGAGTCAGACGTTTAATCTAGTGAGCCACCCAGGCACCCCCAGATGTGTCTTTTGCAGATATTTTCTCCCAGTCTGTGACTTGTCTTCTCATCCTTTTGACATTGTCTTTTCTCAGAGCAGAATTTTTAAATTTTAATTAAGTCCAGGTTATCATTTATTTCTTTCCTGGATTATACCTTTGGTGTTTTATCTGAAAAGTCATCACCCATACTCAAGGTCAACTAGGTTTTCTCCTGTGTTATCTTCCAGGAGTTTCATTTTACATTTAGGTCTATAATCTATTTTGAGTTAATTTTTGTAAAAGATATAAGGTCTATGTCTGCATTAGTCATTTTTGTATATGGATGTCCAGTTTTTCCAGCATCATATGTTGAAAAGATAGCTCCATTGTATTTCTTTTCCTCCTGTCAAAAATCAGTTGACTATATTTATGTGGGTCTATTTCTATTTCTGTTTTCTGTATCTGTTCCATTGATCATCTTGTCTCGTTTCTCCAATACCACGCTATCTTTTTTTTTTTAAGATTTTATTTATTTATTTGACAGAGAGAGACACAGCGAGAGAGGGAACACAAGCAGGGGGAGTGGGAGAGGGAGAAGCAGGCTTCCCGTGGAGCAGGGAGCCCGATGCGGGACTCGATCCCAGGACCCTGGGATCATGACCTGAGCCGAAGGCAGACGCTTAACGACCGAGCCACCCAGGCGCCCCTTCACACTATCTTGATTACTGTAGACTTTATGGTAAGTTTTGAAGTTAGGTAGTGTCAGTCCTCTGACTTTGTTCTTCGTTATTGTGTTGGGTATTCTGGGTTGTTTGCCTCTGCATATAAACTTTATTTTTTTAAAGATTTTATTTATTTATTTGACAGACAGCACAAGTAGGCAGAGCAGCAGGCAGAGGGAGAGGGAGAAGCAGGCTCCCCCTGAGTAGGGAGCCCGATGCAGAACTCAGTCCCAGGACCCCGAGATCATGACCTGAGCCAAAGGTAGCCACTTAACCGACTGACCCACCCAGGTGCCCCTGCATATAAACCTTAGAATCAGTTTTTCAGTATCCACAAAATAACTTTATGGGATTTTTATTGGGATTGGGATTAAATCTATAGATCAAGTTGGGAGGAACTGACATCTTGACAATATGGAGTCTGACCGTGAACATGGAACATCTCTCCATTTATTTAGTTCTTTAATATCTATTATGAGTTTTATAGTTTTTCTCATATATATCTTGTATATACAAATACAACATTTGTTGTATTTATACCTAAGTATTTCATTTTTGAATGTGATAATGTAAATGATAAAGTTTTTAATTTTTAAGATTTTATTTATTTATTTGACAGAGATACACAGTGAGAGAGGGAACACAAGCAGGGGAATGAGAGAGGGAGAAGCAGGCCTCCCACTGAGCGGGGATCCTGATGCAGGACTCGATTCTAGGACCCTGGGATCCTGACCTGAGCTGAAGGCAGATGCTTAATGACTGAGCCACCCAGGCACCCCATGTTTTTAATTTCAAATACCACTTATTCATGGCTGGTATATAGAAAAGTGATTGACTTATGTATATTAATCTTGTATCCTGCAACCTTACTATAACTGCTTATTACTTCCAGGAATTTTTTGCTGATTCTTTTGAATTTTCTACATGAGCATGTCATCCATGAACAAGGACAGTTTTATTTCTACCATCCCAATATGTATTTCATTTTCTTGTCTTAACTGCATTAGCTAGGGCTTTTCAGTATATTGTTGAAAAGCAGTGGTGAGACATCTTTGCTTTTTCCTCATCTTAGCTAGAAAGCTTGGAATTTCTCACCATTAAGTATGGTATTAGCTGTAGGGTTTTTGTAGATGTTCTGTATCAACTTGAAGAAATTCATCTTTATTCCTACTTTGCTGAGAGATTTTATCATGAATGGGTATTGGATTTTGTCAAATGCTTTTTCTGCATCTTCTGATGATTGTGTGATATTTCTTCTTTAGACTGTTGATGTGATGGAGTACATTGATTGATTTTTGTATTTGAAATTGCCTTGCATACTAGGATAAATCCCACTTCGTCATGGCATATAATTCTTTTTATATATTGTTGGATCCGATTTGCTAATATTGTTGAGGATTTTTGCTTTTATGTTCATCAGAGATATTGGTCTATAGTTTTTTATATGTCTTCTGTTTTGATATTAGGGTAATGCAGGCTTCATAAAATGAGTTAGTGTTCTTTCTGCTTCTATGCTCTGGAACAGATTTATTTATTTATTTATTTTTAATTTTTTTTTTTTAAAGATTTTATTTATTTATTTGACAGAGAGACAGTGAGAGTAGTAACACAAGCAGGGGGAGTGGGAGAGGGAGAAGCAGGCTTCCCGCTGAGCAGGGAGCCCGATGTGGGACTCCATCCCAGGACCCTGGGATCATGACCTGAGCCAAAGGCAGATGCTTAACGACTGAGCCACCCAGGCGCCCTCTGGAACAGGTTTTAGAGAATGCATATCATTTCTTACTTAAATGTTTGGTAGAATTCACTAGTGAACCTATCTGAACCTATGCTTTCTGTTTTGGAAGATTATTATTTCAATTTCTTTTTTTTTAAATTTTTATTATTTATTTATTTTTTAAAAAGATTTTGTTTATTTGACAGAGAGGTACATAGTGAGAGGGGAACACAAGCAGGGAGCCCAATGTGGGGCTCGATCCCAGGACCCTGGGATCATGACCTGAGCCGAAGGCAGTCACCCAATGACTGACCCACCGAGGCGCCCCTTTTTTTTTCATTATTTTTAAAGATTTATTTATTTATTTTAGAGAGTGTGCTTGTGAGTCGGTGGGGGAGGGGCAGAGAGAGAATCTAAAGCATACTCTGCACTGAGTGTGGAGCCCAACACAGGGCTTTATCTCACGACTCTGAAATCGTGACCTGAACAAAAACCAGAAGTTGGACACTCAACCAACTGAGGCACCCAGGTGCCCCTGGTTCAATTTCTTTAATAGATATATAGCTTTTCAGATTATCTGTTTCTTCTTGTGTGCGTTTTAGTAGATTATGTGTTTCAAGGAATTGGTCCATTTCATTGAGATTTTTAAATTTGTGGGCAGAGATTAGTTTATAATATTCCTATATTATTTTAAAATGTAATTTAATTTATTCATGGGGGGAGGGGCAGAGGGAGAGGGAGAGAGAGAGAATCTTAAGCAGGCTCCATGCCCAGTGCAGAGCACAATGCAGGGCTCATATCATGACCCTGAGATCATGACCTGAGCCAAAATCAAGAATTGGTTGCTTAACTGACTGAGCCACCCAGGCACCCCTCCTGTATTATTTTTCTTAATGTCTATGGGGTCTGTAGTGATGTTCCCTCTTTCAATTCTCTTCTTTTTTTAAGAAAAGATTTATTTATTTTAGCGAGAGAGTGGGGGTGGGGGGGCGGAGGGGGAGAGAGAGAGACTTCCCAAGCCGACTCCTTGCTGAGCATGGAGCCTAATGTGGGGCTTGATCCCATGACCTGAGCCAAAACCAAGAGGTGCTTAACTGAGCCACCCAGATGCCCCCACTGGTTCAATTCTGATTTTAGTAATTTGTATTTTCTCTCTTTTTCTCTTAACCTGGCTTTTGAGACTTACTGATTTTGTTGATTTTTTTTTTTCAAAGAATCAGCTTTTGGTTTTGTTGATTTTTCTCTACTGATTTTCTATTTTAATACTTTTTTTTTAAGAAAGATTTTATTTATTTATTTGACAGAGAGAAAGACAGCAAGAGCAGGAACACAAGCAGGGGGAGTGGGGAAGGGAGAAGCAGGCCTCCCGCAGAGCAGGGAGCCCGGTGCGGGACTCGATCCCAGGACCCTGGGATCATGACCCAAGCTGAAGGCAGACGCTTAACGACTGAGCCACCCAGGCGCCCGCTGATTTTCTGTTTTAAATTTCATTGATTTCTGTTCTATTTTTTTTTAAAGATTTTATTTATTTTTTGAGAGAGAGAGCATGAGTAAGGGAAAGGCTGATGGAGAGGGAGAGGCAGACTTCCCCACTGAGCAGGGAGCCCGATGAGGGGCTCGATCCCAGGACCCTGGGATCATGACCTGAGCCCAAAGCAGCCTCTTAATGGACTGAGCCACCCAGGTGCCCCTCCTCTAATTTTTACTATTTTTCTCCTGCTGCTTATTTTGGATTTAATTTGTTCTTCTTTTTCTGGTTTCCTAAGATGGAAGCTTAGATGGTTTATTTGATTTATTTTTAATTTTTTTTTTTTTAAGTAAGCTCTATGCCCAGTATGGGGCTAGGACTCAAGCTCTACTGACTGAGCCAGCCAGGCACCCCTAGATGATTGGTTTTAGATCTTCTTTTGTGATACATGGTTTCAGTACTGTAAATTTCCCTCTAAGCACTGCTCTCACTGACTCTCACAAACTTTGTTAAGTTGCATTTTCATTTTCGTTTAGTTAAAAATATTTAAAGATTTCTCTTGAGGTTTCCTCTTTGACCTATGTGCTATTTAGAAGTATTACAATTATGTAATTTCCAAGTATTTGAGGATTTTTCTAGCTATTTTGCTGTTATTGATTTCTAGTTTAATTCCTTTGTGGTCAGAGAACAGACATTTTATGATTTCTATTTTTTTAAATTAGTTAAAGTGTGTCTGTGTCCAAGAACATGGTCTCTCTTGGTGAATGGTCCAAATGAGCTTGAGTAAAATGTGTAACACAAGCTGTCCTTTGATGAAATCGTCTACAGATGTCAATTATATGCAGTTGATTAGTGGTGCTATTGAGTTCAACTATATCCTTGCAGATTTTCTGCTGCTGAATCTGTTTATTTCTGAGAGAAGAGTGTAAAGTCTCCAACTCTAATAGTAGATTCATCTGTTTCTCTTTGCCATTCTATCAGTTTTTGCCTCATGTATTTTGATGCTTTATTGTTAGTTGGATACGCATTAAGAATTGTTATGTCTTGCTGGAGTATTGCCCCCCTTCTCATTATGTAATGTTCCTTTTAACTTTTCTTGCTTTCAAGTCTGCTCTGTCTGAAATTAATATGGCTCCTCCCACTTTCTTTTGATTAGTTTTAGTATATCTTTTTCTATCCCTTTACTTTTAATCTGAAAAGTTTTTTAGTGGCTGCCCTAGAGTTTGAAATATATATTTATTATTAATCCAGTCACTTTCAAATAATGCCATAGTGCTTCCCAAGTAGTGCAAGTACCTTATAATAACAAAGTATTCCCAGTTCCTTCCTGCCATCCCTTGTTTCATTGCTGTCATTCATTTCACTTATGCATAAGCATGCCCACACATACACAGAAGCCGACATAATTAAACTACATTGTTACTATTCATATTTTGAACAGTTATCTTTTAGATCAATTAAAAATAAAACATTTTTAAATTTTACTTATATTTATTCATTCTCAGATGCTCTTTCTTTATGTAGATCCTAGTTTCTGACCTGTATCATTTTCCTTTTCTCTAAAGAACTTCTTTTAACGTACCTTGCAAAGCATATCTACTTGCAACAAGTTCCCTCAATTTTTGTTTGTCTGACAGAAGTTATTTCTCCCCCCCTTTTTAAAGATTTTATTTATTTATTAGAGAGAGAGAGAACCTGAGCAGGGGGAGGAGCAGAGGGGGAGGGAGGGGAAAGAATCTTAAACAGATTCTGAGTTGAGCACAGAGCCCCATGCTGGGCTCCATCTTACCTGAGATCATGACCTGAGCTGAAATTTAGAGTTGGACACTTAACAACTGAGCCACCCACGTGCCCCTCTCCCCACTTTTTTTTAAAGACTTAATTTTTTTCAGAGCAGTTTAGGTTCACAGCAAGATTGAGAGGAACATTCTTTCACTTTTGAAGGATCATTTTGAAGGATACAGAATTCTAGCTAGTTTTTCTTTCTCGGCCCTTTAAATATTTCATTCCATTGTCTTCTTGCTAGCATGGTTTCTGAGAAGTTGAATGTAATCCTTATCTTGCTCTTTGATAGATAAAGTGTTTTTTCTCTCTGGCTTCTTTCAAGACTTTTTCTTTATGTTTGATTTTCTAAAGTTTGAATATGATATGCCTAGGTTTAGGGGTTTTTGGCATTTATCCTGCTTGGTCTTCTCTGAGCTTCCTGGATCTGTGGTTTGGTGTCTGACATTAATTTGGGGAAATTCTCAGCCATCATTACTCCAAATATTGCTTCTGTTCCTTTCTTTTTCTTGTCCTTCTGATTTCCCATCATGTATATGTTACACTTTTTGTAGTTTTCCCACAGTTCTTGGATATTTTGTTCTGTTTTTTATTTTTTTCAGTTTTGGAGGTTTCTTTTGTCATGTCTGCAAGCTCAGAGATTGTTTCCTCAGCCTTGAGCAGTCTAACAATCAGCCCACGAAAGGCATTCTTCATTTCTGTTATTATGCTTTTAATTTCTATAATTAAAAAAAATTTTTTTTAGAATCTCTCTCTCTACTTACATTATCAATCCATTCTTTTTTTTTTTAAGATTTTATTTATTTATTTGACAGAGAGAGACACAGCGAGAGAGGGAACACAAGCAGGGGGAGTGGGAGAGGGAGAAGCAGGCCTCCCGCCGAGCAGGGAGTCCAGTGCGGGGCTCGATCCCAGGACCCTGGGATCATGAGCTGAAGGCAGACGCTTTACGACGGAGCCACCCAGGCGCCCCTATCAATCCATTCTTGATGTGTCCACTTTTTTCATTTAAACTCTTAGCAAAAAAAAAAAAAGCTCTTAGCATATTAATCATAGTTTAAAAAAAAATCTAGTCTGAGAATTCCAACATTCCTCCCGTTAACTGACTCTGGTTTTGATGCTTGTTTAGTGTCTTCAAATTGCATTTTCTGCCTTTTAATATGCTTTCAGTATTCTTTTGAGAGGCAGACATGAGGTACTGGGTAAAAGGAACTATACTAAAATAAGCCTTTAAGAACGCTATGGTAAGGTGAAGGGATAGGGAAAGTATGTATAATTCTCGAAGTCTCAGTCTTTCAGTGTCTCTGCTCTGTGGACTTCACCAGCACTTTCCCGTTTCTCCCTGACTGGTGGGACAGGATGGCTGGTGGAGCTGGAGTTCATTCTTTCCTTTACCCCAAGTAGGTTAGGCTCTGATAAAACCCAGCAGGTTAAGCTCTGGTAAAATAGTTTCTCTTGAAGGCAGGTTTTGTTAAGAACAGAATGCCCCAGCATATTTCCAAATACCTCCTTTTCCTCTCCTCCTGCCAGAAGCATGAGGGGATTTTTCTCTGATACTCACTTAGGACCTGGTAACTCTCAGAGGTAAAACTCACGAGAGAGAGAGAGAGAGAGAGAGTGTGTGTGTGTGTGTGTGTGTGTTTGGCTTGGGGGGGTCCTCCCATGGCCAGATTCTCCTGGAATTTTTTATTTATTTTTGTAAAAGATTTTTTTTTAAAGATTTTATTTATTTGAGAGAGAGAATGAGAGAGAGAAAGCACGAGAGGGAAGAGGGTCAGAGGGAGAAGCTGACTCCCTGCTGAGCAGGAAGCCCGATGTGAGACTCGATCCCGGGACTCCAGGATCATGACCTGAGCCGAAGGCAGTCGCTTAACCAACTGAGCCACCCAGGCGCCCTAAAAGATTTTTATTTGACAGAGAGCACATGTGCACACTCACAAGCAGGGGGAAAGGCAGGCAGAGGGAGAAGGAGGAAGACAGAGGGAGAGAGAGAAGCAGGCTCCCCGCTGAGCAGGGAGCCCGATGTGGGGACTCGATCCCAGGACCCTAAGATCATGACCTGAGCCAAAGGCAGACGCTTAACTGACTGAGCCACTCAGGTGCCCCAACTCCTGGAATTTTTAACTCTCAGACTTGTGCACACCTGAGCCTCCTACGCTTCACCAGTTACAGCACAGATCTTCCTACCCCAGCATTGGTTGCTAGAGGTGGTTTCTGCTTGTGGGATTTTGCTTAAGTTTAAGTTGTGATTCTTTGTATCTGCCAGTCACCAATCCTTTTGGCAGTGGTTTATCCCGTGACCTCCCTCTCTGGCAGATCTAAGGAGAGTTGTTGATTTTTCAGTTTGTTTAGCTTTTTACTTGTTGTTAGGATGGAGTGGCAACTTCTGAGCTTATAATATGCAAGACCAGAAATTCTCCTGGTGATTTTCTTTTTATTTCCAATATAAAAGGTTGTGTTTTAAAAATATACAAGCCAGGGGCGCCTGTGTGGCTCAGATGGTGAAGCGTCTGCCTTCGGGTCCTGGGCTTGAACTATGCATCGGGCTTCTTGCTCGGCGGGAAGCCTGCTTCCCCCACTCCTTCTGCTGCTCACCCTGCTTGTGCTCTTTTGCTCTCTCTGTCAAATGAATAAATAAACTCTTTTAAAAAATATATATACAAGCCATCTGTGCCTTTTTGTGGGCATATGCTTTCATTTCTTTGGGTAGATACCTGGGAATACAATGGCTGCATCATATGGTAAATGGAGAATTTTTAAAGAAACTGCCAGTTTTCCAAAGTGGTTGTACTATTTTATAGTCTCATTAACTGTGTATGAGAGTTCCAGGTGCTTCATAGTCTTGTTATTTTTAAGTGCTAACACTTTTTAATTTTAACTGTTTAAGTGATTATGTAGTGGTATCTTCTTATGGTTTTAATTTACATTTCCCTAATAGCTAATGATGTCAAACATCTTTTTATGCCCTTATTTACCATCCTTATATCTTCTTTGGTGAACTATCTATCAGACCTTTGCCTTTTGTCTGGGGGGTTTGTTTATCTTCTTACTGAATTTTAAGAGTTCTATATATATTCCAAAATACAAGCCTTTGTTGGACAGATGTTTTGCAAATACTCTCTCCCAGTCTTGTGGCTTGCCTTTTCATTTTTGTTGGTGTTTTTTGATGAGTATCAGTTTATAATTTCAGTGAGTTCCAATTTATGCACATCTGTATATATGTATGTAAACTCTGCTCTGAATGTGGGGCTCAGACACAACCCTGAGATCAAAAGTCACATGTTCTACTGACTGAGCCAGCCAGGCACCTTGATGAATTCTATTTGATTGAATTTTTCTTTTATAGACATATATTTTTTAAAGATTTTATTTATTTGTCAGAGAGAGAGAGAGTACAAGCAGGGGGAGGCGCAGGCAGAGGGAGAAGCAGGCTCCCTGCTGAGCAAGGAGCCTGATGAGGGACTCAGTCCCAGGACTCTGGGATCATGATCTGAGCCAAAGGCAGACACTTAACCAACTGAGCCGCCCAGGCATCCCTAGTCATATTTTTTTGTGACCTGTTTAAGATGTTAAAAAATTTAAGAACACTAGGTTATTTTCTGCATTTTCTTCTAGAAGTTTTATAATTTAAATTTTTATAGTTAGGTCTTTGATCCATTTTGAGTTAAATTTTGTATATGGTATGAGATATAATGGTAGAGGTTCTGTCTGTTTCTTAATTTATTTACTGGTATACAGCTGTTCACTTTTTCTAGCACCATGTGTTAGAAAGATTACTCTTTCCCTATTGAATTTCTGCACTCTCTGTTCTGTTCCATTTTAAGTCTTGAAATTAGGTAATATAAGTCCTCTATCTGTTCTTTTTAAAGATGATTTTGGCTATAATAGGTCCCTTTAATTTTCTTTTTTTTTTCTTTTTTTTTTTTTTTAAAGATTTTATTTATTTATTTGAGAGAGAGAGAGAGAATGAGAGATAGAGAGCACGAGAGGGAAGAGGGTCTGAGGGAGAAGCAGACTCCCCACTGAGCAGGGAGCCCGATGCGGGACTCGATCCCGGGACTCCAGGATCATGACCTGAGCTGAAGGCAGTCGCTTAACCAACTGAGCCACCCAGGCGCCCTAGGTCCCTTTAATTTTCATGCGAATTTTAGAATCAGCTTGTCAAGTCCTACAATAAAACCTGTGGGTACTGTTATAGGTATTGCATTGACTACATTGGGGAGAGCAATATTGAACCTTTTCATTCATAAAGAATATATATTTTTCCACTTATTCAAATCTTTCTTAATTTCTCTCAGATTGTAGGAGTTTTTACTTTAAGTCATTCTAGAGAAGAATTAATTCTGTGCTTTTTTAGGGGGAGAGGACAGACAGAATACAGCCAGATCATTTTTTTTTTAAATTGTGGTAAAATGCACATAACATATAATTTACCATCTTAATCATTTATAATTGTACAGTTCATTGGTACACATTCACATTATTGATCAACTGTCACTACCATCCATCTCCAGAACTCTTTATCTTACAAAACAAAACTCTGTACCCATTAAAAATAAATAATTCTCCCCATCCCTCTGCCCCTGGTAACCACCATTCTCCTTTTTGTTTCTATGAATTTGACTATTCTAGGTACCTCATTTAAGTGGAGTCATACAGTATTTGCCATTTTATAATTGATTTGTTTCATTTAGCATAATGTTCAAGACCATCCATGTTACAGCATATTTTAGAATTTCTTTCTCTTTTAAGGCTGGATAATATTCCACTGTATGTATATACCACATTTTGTTTTTCCATTTATATGTCAGTGAACACGTGGGTTACTTCCACCTTTTTTTAAAAGAAGAGAGCACAGTGGGGAGGGGCAGAGGGAGAAAGAGAGACAGAGAGAGAATTTCAAGCAGACTCTGCTGAGCACGGAGCCCGACACAGGGCTCAATCTCACGACCCTGAGATCACAACTGAAATGAAACCAAGAGTTGGACACTTAACCAGTTGCACCACAGTGCACCAAGGCACTCCCGGTTGCTTCCACCTTTTAACTGTTGTGAATAATGCTGCCATCAACATGGGTGTACAAATATCTCCTTGAGACTATTTCAGTTCATTTGGATATATACCCAAAATGGAATGGCTGGATCACATGGTAATTTTATTTTTAATTTTTTGAAGAATCAACATACTGTTTTCTGTAGCAGCTGCACCATTTTACATTCCCACCAATTGTACAGAAGGGTTCCAGTTTCTCCACATCTTTGCTATAACTTACTTTCTTCTTCTGATAGTGGCTATCCTAATAGGTATCAAGTGGTATCTCATTGTGGTTTTGATTTGTATTTCTCTATTGATTAGTGATTTTTTTCATGGGCTTATTGGCCATTTGTATATCTTAGGAGAAATGTCTAAGTCCTTTGTCCATTTTTTATAAAGATTTATTTATTTTAGAGAGAGCGAGAGCACACACGTGTGTGCACGCAGGGGTGGGGAGAGGGAGAGAGAGGAGAGAAACAGACTCCCTCCTGAGCATGGAGCTTAATGTGGGGCTTGATCCTAGGACCCTGAAATCATGACCTGGCTGAAATCAAGAGGCAGACATTTAACTGACTGAGCCACCCACGTGCCCCGTGGTCCGTATTTTAATTGAGTTTTTTACTTTTTTATTGTTGAGTGTAGGAGTTCTCAATATATTCTGGATATTAACCCCTTATCAGATATATTATGCAGGTATTTTCTTCCATTCTGTAGGTTGCCTTTTTACTCCGTTGATTGTGTCTTAATGTGCAAGTTTTTAATTTTGATGTTCAGTTTGTCCATTTTTTCTTTTGTTGCCTGTGCTTTTGATATAATATTCAAGGAATCATTGCCAAATCCAATGTCATAAAACTTTTGCATTGTCTTCTAAGAGTTTTGTAGTGGTAGTTCTCATATTTAGGTCTTTGATACATTTTGAGTTCATTTTTTTAATTAAGTTTTTATTTTTAGTTCCAGGATAGTTAACATACAGTGTTATAGGGAGCCTGGCTGGCTCAGTCCAAAGAGCATGCAACTCTTGATCTCAGAGTTGTGAGTTCGAGCCCCATGTTGGGTGTAGAGATTCAAAAAAAAACAAGTAGGGGAGGGGGAACCTCCTTACAGTGTTATATTAGTTTCAGATATACAATATAGTAATTCAACAAGTCCAACTTTATTCCTTTGCATGTGGATATCCAGTTTTCCCAGCACTGTCTCTTTTTTAAAGATTGCCCTTTCTCTATGGAAAAATCTTATTAGCACCTTTGTTGAAAATCATTTGACCATTTATGCAAGAGTTTATTTCTGGGTTCTCCGTTTTATTCCATTGGTCTGTATGTCTGTCTTTATGCCAGTACCACACTTTTTTTGATTATTGTACCTTTGTAACCAGGAAATGTGAAACTTCTAACTTTGTTCTTTTTTTTTCAAGATTGTTTTGGCTCTTAAGGGACTTTTGAGATTCTGTATGAACTTTTGGTGGACTTCTAAGTTTCTGCAAAAAGCATTGTTGGGCTTTCTAGAGGCACTGTACTGAATCTATAGATTGCTTGAATATTATGAACTTTTTTTTTAAGTTTTTAAATTTTTGTAAAGATTTTATTTATTTATTAGAGGGAGAGCATGAGTGGGGTGAGGGGCAGAGGGAGAGAATGTCAAGCAGACTCCTCGCTGGGCATGAAGCCTGACTCAGGGCTCAGTCTCACAACCCATGAGATCATGACCTGAGCTGAAACCAAGAGTCAGATGCTCAACTGACTGAGCCACCCAGAAGCCCCAAGTTTTAAAATTTTTTTTAAGTAATCTCTGCATGCAACATAGGACTCAAACCCACAACCCTGAGATCAAGAGTTGCATGTTCTACTGACCAAGCCAGGCGACCCATGGATATTATGAACATCTTTCTCTTTTTTTTTTAAAGATTTTATTTATTTATTTGAGAGAGAATGAGAGATAGAGAGCACGAGAGGGAAGAGGGTCAGAGGGAGAAGCAGACTCCCCGCTGAGCAGGGAGCCTGATGCAGGACTCGATCCCGGGACTCCAGGATCATGACCTGAGCTGAAGGCAGTTGCTTAACCAACTGAGCCACCCAGGCACCCTATTATGAACATCTTAATATTGACTTCTAATCCATAAACAAGGGATGTCTTTCCATTTGTTTCTATCTTCTTTAACTTTTTTCAGCAACATTTTTTAGTTTTCAGTGTACAAGTCTTTCACTTTATTGGTTAAATTTGTTCCTGAGTATATTATTTTTGATGTTATTGCAAATGGAATGGTCTTGTTAATTTCCTCTTTAAATTGTTCATTGTTGGCGCGCCTGGGTGGCTCAGTTGTTAAGCATCTGCCTTCGGCTCAGGTCATGATCCCGGGGTCCTGGAATCGAGCCCCACGTTGGGCTCCCTGCTCAGCGGGAAGCCTGCTTCTCCCTCTCCCACTCCCCCTGCTTGTGTTCCCTCTCTCGCTGTTGCTGTCTCTCTCTCTGTCAAATAAATAAAATCTTTAAAAAAAAAATTGTTCATTGTTAGTGTATAGAAATGCAACTGATTTCTGTATGTTGATTTTGTATCCTACAACTTTGCTAAATTCATTTATTAGTTCTAACAGTTTTTTTGTGGAACCTTGAGGTTTTCCTGCATATAAGATCATTTTGTCTGTGAACAGAGATAATTTATTTCTTCCTCTCCAATTTGAATGCTTTTATTACTCTTTCTTGTCAAATTACTCTGGCTAGAACCTCTAGTACTGTGTGATTAGAAGTGGCAAAAGCAGGCATCCTATTTTATTCCTGATCTGAAGGGGAAAGCTTTCATTCTTTCACTAAGTGAGATCATATTGATCCAGTTGAATCTGTTTGTTTTTTCCAAGTTGTTCTTATTCCTGGTTTGTAGTTTGGTCAAGGGTGTTTACTAAGGTTTTCCCTTCCCTTCTGGGCCCTGAAATCCAGTATTTAGTTCCCTCCCATCATAAAACTGCTGAAATCTAGGAGTCAGCAAATGTCTTGAAGGAAAATTAAATGAAGAATGTTAGACTTTATCTGTTACTCAGTTTTTCTGGGATGTTGGCCATTTGAATCCTGGCAGCTTTGGTAGCCTGAATTCCAATATTTGTGTCTTCAGCCCCACAGGAGTACTGCAAGCTTTATGACTCTTCTTTCTTCATTGGCCTCTGTGTTCTGGTTAAAGTCAGAAAATGCAGCAAGGGAGTAGAGAACCCATGAATATAGAGCTGAACTTTTTGTGATTACCATTCAAACACTTAAAATTTTTTTAATCTGGTTTTTATAATTGTTCTGATACCACCAGCCAGAAGCAGAAGTCTAGATGCATCATTTAAAAATGTGAAACATAATTGGGGCCTGGCTGGCTCAGTCTATTGAGCATGCAACTCTTGATCTTGGGGTCATGAGTTCAAGTCCCACGTTGGGCATAGAGCTTACTTTAAAAAACAGAAGAAGGTGAAACATAATTCATTATGAGATCTGTAGTAGAAAATGGTATTTCATTCAACTGTTTGTAGGTGTGGAGGTTACTGGCCTTAACCCAGATGCACATTATCGTTAGCAAGTATTAAGGTGATGGTTTAATGATCTGAAGATTGTTAATAAAGCTTAAAATGCTTTTGTAAACATTTCATAGGAATGCTCTTTAAAATGTGAATAATTATAAAACAATTATAGGTTTTCTTCATTACATGGTATTTAATATATTGTTTTATTTTATTTTTTTTAAAGATTTTATTTATTTATTTGACAGAGAGAGACACAGCGAGAGAGGGAACACAAGCAGGGGGAGTGGGAGAGGGAGAAGCAGGCTTCCCGCAGAGCAGGGAGCCTGATGGGGGGCTCGATTCCAGAACCCTGGGACCATGACCTGAGCTCAAGGCAGATGCTAAACGACTGAGCCACCCAGGCGCCCCTGTTTTGTTTATTTTTTTTTATTACAAAAGAAATACATGTTTGTTGTCATAAAATCAAACAATATAGAACATAAGATAAGAAATCCTCTTTTTCCCCTCCCTTCATGGTACCACCTACCCCTGCAGTCCTAGAAGTAGCCTCTGTTAATAATCTGATACGAATTCTTTCATACATGCTAATTTTTCCCTTTAATTGCAGAAGTGAGATTGTGATATACAGTGTTTCGCAACTTCTTTAACCTCATGTGGTATTCACTTTTTTAGACAGTATACATAGATCTGTCTCATAAAGACCTAGTATAAATCTTTCATTTTTCAAAGCCATTTCTTTTTCTTTTTCTTTTTTTTTAAGTAAGCTCTACGCCTAGGGTAGGTCTCGAATTCATGACCCTAAGATCAGGAGTCACATGCTGTTCTGACTGAGCCAGCCAGGCATGCCTAAAGCCCGCCCTTCCTCCCTTCTTCCTTTCTTTCAAACATTTAAGTTTATTTATTTTTTTAGTAATCTCTACCCCTAACTTGGGACTCGAACTCATGACCCTGAGACCAAGAGTTGCATGCTCTTCCACTGAGCTAGCCAGGTGTTCCCCTAAAGCCATTTCACATTATCCTTCCTTTTTTTGACTGTTGTGAACAGTAGTGCAAAGGACATCTTTTGTGCACCACTGAGAGTATAGTTATAAATTGCACCAAAAATAAGAGTACTGTTTTAAATTTTTAACATATTAAATTATCTGTTATAGATATTATCAAATACCCTTCCTAAAAAGTTGCATCATTTTACATGTCCTTGCATTAGAAGGAACAAATGATACTGTTAGTCAACCCTTTTATTCCATTTTAGTACAAATCAGAGATAAAAAAACATGAAGTTTATGGGCGCCTGGGTGGCTTAGTTGGTTAAGCAACTGCCTTTGGCTTGGGTCATGATCCCGGGGTCCTGGGATCGAGTCCCGCATCGGGCTCCCCCTGCTCTGCGGGGAGCCTGCTTCTCCCTCTGCCTCTGCCTGCCACTCTCCCTACTTAATGCGCTCTCTCTCTCTGTCAAATAAATAAATACAATATTTTTTAAAAAATGAAGTTTGTAATTATACATGCATTCTTTCACTTTAGTTGGATTTGAATAATGAAAGATTCTGATAAGGAATAGTCAAGTTTCCATAAGGTTATATACAAATATAAAAGTATATGAGTGTATAATGGTTTTAAAATTTATCTTATTTATATTTAGTAAGTTTTTTTTAAAGGATTTATTTGAGAGAGAATGAGAGAGAATGGGGGAGGGGCAGAGGGAGAGGGAGAGAGAATCCTAGACTGGGCTCCTCACTGAGCATGGAGCCTGACTTGGGCTCGAAAGTCTGATGGTTAACCGACTGAGCCATCCAGGCATCCCTGTATTTAGTGAGTTTTTAAACACTAAACAGCTGTAAGGTGATACGGATTGCTTTAGTGACTGTTTTTTACAGATTTAGGTGACTTATCATTTGATTATAGAAGTACATTGGTCTTGGGCGCCTGGGTGGCTCAGTTGGTTAAGCGACTGCCTTCGGCTCAGGTGATGATCCCGGAGTCCTGGGATCGAGTCCCACATCGGGCTCCCCCTTCTCTATGGGGAGCCTGCTTTTCCCTCTGCCTCTGCCTGCCACTCCCCCTGCTTGTGCTCACTCTGTCTCTCTCTCTCTCTCTCTGTCAAATAAATAAGTAAAATATTAAAAAAAAAAAAAGTACATTGGTCTTCCTAAGTTAGGTTCCCTAACCTTCAGACCAGGGCCCAATCCTGTGTATCATTTTTCATAATAATAATAATAATAATAATGTTTAGTAGTAAGGATAAAAATAATGAAGAATTCACTGCCAGGAACTAAGTGCATTACATATTCGTATAGACAATAACCTTAGGTACAGAGAGGTTATGTAACCTACTATAGGTCATAAGACTGGTAATTGATGCAAATTCAGATAGTTTAACTTCTAGGGTCCATTTGCTAATCATCATAGTCTATTCCTTGTTATTAATTTAACCACACCATATTGTAATTACTTGTTTGTACCTATAGTTCTTATTAGAATCTAAGTTCCTTAAGGACCAAGAGCCATGATTCATTCTTTTTCACCTGTGGTGTTTGATGGTATCTGATGTAGAGTAGGTGTTCAGTAAATATTTATTTAGTAAAATAAAGTAAAATCTAAAGAGATGGAGTAAGTCTGTTGTATTTGTTAGGCCTGAATTTCTTCATATGCCTATCCTATTGACTTATGGGTAACAAAGAAAATTACATTATATTTGGATTATTTTGTCATTAATTTGTATTTTATTTGAGGATGACAATCAAGGAAGGTATTTATTAATTGTAAAGATTCTGTGCAGTGTTTTAAACATTAAGAAAATGAAGAGCATAAAAATTGTATAAATTATGTAATCTTTAAGTTAAATGGAAAAGAAAAACGGATTCCATAATGTATTATAATATTGTATTGTGCCAGGTTTTCCCCCCCCAGTTTTAGTGAGGTATAATTAACAAATAAAAATTATATATATATATTTAAGATAAACAACTTGATGTTTTACTATACCTATACATTGTGAAATAATCATAACAGGCTAGTTAACATATCTATCACCTCACATAGTTAATTTTCTTCTTTTTTGCTTTTTTTTTGTGGTGAGAACACTTAAGACTTCTTAGCAAATTTCAAATATACAATACAGTATTGTTAAGGATAGTCACATTGCTATATATTAGATCTCCAAAAGTAATCATCTTGCATAACTGAAACTTTGTATCCTTTGACTAATGTCTCCCTATTTCCCCATCCCCCTAGCTCTTGGCAACCACCATTCTGTGAGTGGATATTGTACTTTGGTTATTTTAGATTCCACATACAAGTGATAATTGTGCAGTACTTGTCTTTCTGTGTCTGGCCTATTTCACTTAGCATAATGTCTGCCAGGTTCATCCATGTTGTCACAAATGGCAGGATTTCCTTTTTTTAAGGCTGAATAATATTCCATTGTGTAAATATACATGCATGCAATCCCCCGCCCCATTTTCTTATCCACTCATCCAGCAGCAGTTATTTATGGTTGTTTACATATCTTGGCTATTTTGAATAATGCTGCAGTGAAATGTGGGAGATACTGATTTCATTTCCTTTGTGTTTATATCTAGAAATGAGATTCTGGATCATAAGATAGCTCTATTTTTAATTTTTTGAAGAACCTTCATAACTCTTTTCCATAATGGCTGTACCAGTTACATTCCTACCAGCTTTATACAAGAGTTCTCTTTTCTCTACATCCTCACCACCACCTGTTTATTATCTTTTGTCTTTTTAATAATATATATGCTGTTCTTTTTTTTTTAGAAAGATTTTATTTATTTATTTGACAGAGACAGCGAGAAAAGGAACACAAGCAGGGAGACTGGGAGAGGGAGAAGCAGGCTTCCAACTGAGCAGGGAGCCCAATGTGGGGCTCGATCCCAGGACCCCAGCCAGGATCATGATCTGAGCCGAAAGCAGATGCATAAAGACTGAGCCACCCAGGCGCCCCATATATGCTGTTCTTAAATGCAAAGGTGGTAGTTATTCTCCACATCAGTGCTTCTTAATTTTCTTCCCAAAACATTCATAGAAAATGATTATGTTTTCTTGGTACAATGGAAAGAAGAGGCTCACATGAGGAAGGTGACAGAAGTATCTCATTGTTGAAGTGGTATTTGGCTGACCCAAGGGCCAAGAAAATCAGCATCTTGGTAGACCTGTAATTCATATTTGGAGCTGCCAGAGAACACTGGGAAAACTGCTGTGAATAGTTTCAGTGTATTCGTATTACAAAGGATCTTAGCTACCACATCTCTTTATATCATTTTACTTATTTTTACTTTATATATTTTTTACATAAATAATAATTTTATAAATTTATTACATTTATATATAGTTGACCCTTGAACAATGCAGGGGTTAGGGGCACTGACCTCCTGTGCAGTCGGAAGTCTACATACAACTTGACTCACCCAAAACTTAACTACCAGTAGTATACTGTTTACTGGAAGCCTTACTGATAACATAAAGAGTTGGTTAACACCTATTTTGTACGTTATATGTATTATATACTATATTCCTACAATAAAGTAATCTAGAGAAAAGAAAATATTATTAAGAAAACCATAAGGTGGGAATGCAGTGTGGTGCAGCCACTGTGAAAAACAGTATGGACATTACTCAAAAAATTAAAAGTAGAGGGGCATCTGGGTAGCTCAGTCGTTAAGCATCTGCCTTCAGCTCAGGTCATGATCCCAGGGTCCTGGGATTGAGTCCTGCTTCAGGGTCCTGGGGTTGAGCCCTGCATCAGGCTCCCTGCTCCCTTCTCCCACTCCTCCTGCTTGTGTTCCCTCTCTTGCTGTGTCTCTCTCTGTCAAATAAATAAATAAAATCTTTTAAAAAATAGAAATAAATAAATCTCTTAAAAAAATTAAAAATAGAGGGGCACCTGGGTGGCTCAGTTGGCTCAGCATCAGACTCTTGATTTTGGCCCAGCTCATGAGCACTCAGCAGGGAGCATGCTTGCAATTCTCTTCCTCTCCCTCCCCCTCTGCCCTTCCCCCTGTTGTATACTCTCTCTAAAATAAATAAATAAATCTTTTAAAAATTAAAAATTGAATTACCATATGATCCAGTAATTTCACTACTGGGTATTTACCTAAAGAATATGAAAACACTAATTCAAAAGGATACATGCACCCCTATGTTTATTGCAGCATTATTTACAACAGCCAAATTGTGGAAGCAGCAAAAGTGTCCATCAATAGATGAGTGGATAAAGAAGGTGTTGGTATATATCTACAGTGGAAAATTACCATAAGAAAAAAAAAGAATGAATTCTTGCCAATTGCAACATGGATGGAGCTAGAGAGTATAATGCTAAGCAAAATAAGTCAGTCAGAGAAAGACAAATAACATATGATTGTACTCTTACGTAGAACTAAAGAAACAAAATGAACAAAAAGGGAAAAAAAGACAACCAAGAAACAGAGTCTTAACTGTAGAGAACAAACAGATGGTTACCAGAGGGGAGGTGGATGGGGGATGGGGGAAATAGGTAAAGGGGATCAAGAGTACACCTCTCTTGACGAGCACTGGGTAACGTATGGCACTGCTGAGTCACTGTATTGTACACCTGAAGCTAATAGAACGCTGTGTGTTAACTGTACTGGAATTAAAATAAAATTGAAAAAGTTAAATTAAAAAAAGAGGGGTGCCTGGATGGCTCAGTCAGTTAAGCGTCTGCCTTCGGCTCAGGTCATGATCCCAGGGTCCTGGGATCAAGCCCCGCATTGGGCTCCTTGCTCAGTGGGAAGCCTGCTTCCCCCTCTGCTGCTCCTCCTGCTTGTGTTCCCTCTCTCGCTGTGTCTCTCTGTCAAATAAATAAATAAAATCTTTAAAAAAAATAAAAATTAAAAAAGAAAACCATAAGATGGGATGCCTGGGTGGCTCAGTCGGTTAAGTGTCTGCCTTCAGCTCAGGTCATGATCCCAGGGTCCTGGGATCGAGTCCTGCATTGGGCTCCCTGCTCCACAGGGAGTCTGCTTCTCCCTCTGCCTCTGCATCTCTCTCTCTGTCTCTCATGAAAGGATAAATAAAATCTTTTTTTTTTTAAAGATTTTCTTTATTTGAGAGAGAGAGAATGAGAGATAGAGAGCACGAGAGGGAAGAGGGTCAGAGGGAGAAGCAGACTCCCTGCTGAGCAGGGAGCCCGATGTGGGACTCGATCCCGGGACTCCAGGATCATGACCTGAGTCGAAGGCAGTCGCTTAACCAACTGAGCCACCCAGGTGCCCTGGATAAATAAAATCTTAAAAAAGAAAAAGAAAAGGAAGAGAAAATACATTTAGAATACTGTACTGTATTTATAAAAGAAAAAATCCCTGTAGAAATCAACCTGTACAGTTCAAACCTGTGTTTTTCAGGGTCAACTGTATTTTATTTATTTGTGCCTTCTCTTTTTCCCCCCTCAATCCCCAAATCATTGTCAATTTTATTGGTCTTTTCAAAGAACCTACTTTTGATTTTAAGTCCTTAATTGAATGTTTATTTTCTGTTTCCTTAACTTCTGCTCTTTATTATTTCCTTCTATTTTCTTTGAGTTTGTTTTTACTTTTAGTAAAAAAGCAGTTACTAATTTTTTGAGGTGAATAATTGGCTTATTAATTGCTTTTATAGTATATTCATTTAAAAAAATTTTTTTTAAATATTTGAGAGAGCATGAGAGAGAGAGAGAGAGAGAACACAAGTGGGGGGGTGGGAGAGGGAGAAGCAGACTCCCAGCTGAGCAGGGAGCCCAATGTGGGACTTGATCCCAGGACCCCAGGATCATGACCTGAGCTGAAGGTAGATGCTTAATCAACTGAGCCACCCAGGCGCCCCTAGTATATTCATTTAAACCTATAAATTTTCCTCCAAAAAATAAACCACTTTTAGCTCACCCCACACTTTTTCTGGTTTGTTTTGGGGGAAAAACTCCAGGCAGCAACTGTGACTGCTGCTGCTACAGCTCCTCTACCTCCTCTTCTTTTTTTGTATAGCTTTATGAGGGTTTATATAATATTTCACGTGTAATAAACTGCATATGTTAAAATGTATGATTTGATACTTTTTGACCTGTGAATACAACCAAGATAATGAACATATCCATCACTCCCACAGTGTTTTCTCATGCCCCTTTGGGATCCTCTCTTCCTGTTCTCCCCTGTTTCCAGGCAACCACTGATCTGTTTCCACATTTTTTGATATATAATATCTTTATCATTCAGTTCAAAATATTTTCTGACTTCTGATCCAGGGAATATTTAGATATACCTGGAGCTTTTCTAGTTTAAAGATTTTATTTATTTTATTTGGAGAGAGAGAAAGCAAGCAGGGGGTGAGGCAGAGGGAGAAGGGGAGAGAGAATCTCAGGCAGACTCCACACTGAGCACGAAGCCTGATGTGGGGCATAATCTTAAAACCCTGAAATCATGACCTGATCCAAAATAAGAGTTGGACCCTTAACCGACTGAGCCACCCAGGCGCTCCAGCTGTTGTATTTTCTTAAAATAAGAGAACAGTGAAGTTTGTTGCATTGATTGACTCTTCCTTTCATGAATACTTTATTTATAGCTTGTGATACTGTTTGATAGCATTTTACCCACAGTAGAACTTCTTTCACAATTGGAGTCAGTCCTCTCAAATCCTTTTGTTGCTTTATTAGTGAAGTTTATGTAATATTCTAAATCTCTGTTGTTATTTCAACAGTCTTCAAAGTATCTTCACCAGGAGTAGATTCCATCTCAAGAAACCTCTTTCTTGGCTTACCTGTAAGAAGCAGCTTCTCAACTGTTCACATTTCATCATGAGATTATAGTAGTTCAGTCATATCTTCAGGATCCTCTTCTAGTTCTTTTGCTTTTTCCATCACATCTGCATCCAGAACATACACAACTTTTATTAAGTTTGTGGTCTTATATGGGCACAGTTCATGGTACCCCAAAACAATTACCATGGTAACATCAGAGATCACTGTAACAAATATAATGATAATGAAAAAATTCAAACTATTTTGGGAACTATTAAAATGTGACACAGAAACATGAATTGAGCAAATGCCTTGGAAAAATAGCACCAATAGACTTGTTTGACACAGGGTTGCCACAAACCTTCAATTTATAAAGAAAAAACATTATCTGTGAAGCACAATAAAATGAGTTACACCTGTATATGATTTCAGTCATTTGGAATTTAAGATTTGCTTTTGCTTTATGGCCCAAGATTTGGTCATTTTTAAAATGCTTGTATGTGCTTGAAAAGAGTGTGCTTTTATACAATTGTTGGATGTAATGTTTTATATATGTCTTACTAAATCAAGTTTGTTAATTCTGTTTAAATCTTCATTTTTACTGATTTTTTTCTGCTTGTTTTATGAATTATTGGTTAATGTTTGCATGTCACATATTTTCAAATTCTTTATCTTTAATTTCTCTGAATTATTATGTTTTAGGTGTATCTCATGTAAACAGCTCATTGTACTCTTTTTACTTTTAGTTCCAGTCTGAAAATCTTTGTCTTCTAAATAAAGCATCTCATCCATTTACATTTAATGTAATTGCTGTTATTTGTCTTTAAATCTATATTTTATATGTTTTCTCATAGTCTTTTAATTATAAAGGATTTTTGTTTTTTTATTTTTTTAGAGAGGGGGAGAAAGTGTGGGGCAGAGGGAGAGGGAGAGAATCTTAAGCAGGTTCAACACCCACCGCAGAGCCTGATGCAGGGCTCAGTTTCACAACCCTAAGATCATGACCTGAGCCAAAATCAAGAGTCTGATGTTTAACCAAGTGAGCCACCCAGGCGCCCCTTAATTAGAAGTGCTTTAAGCAATTTTT